GCAGACTGACAGGCTCCCTAAGGAGATCCTCCACTACTTTGATTTCCCTCTGTGAGAGCCTCTCCTATGCAGAAATCATGTTCCCTTCTCCTGACTGTTAGGATTGAACACTACAAGGGCTTACATGTAGAATCAGTATATCCTGGGAGAAAGTTTCTAACAGGTACCCTGTTGGGACAGGAAGTAAGAAAAAGAAAAAGAAAAGGAGCTGGGATAGAAAAAATGGTCCCCTTTGCCGGAGATTAAGTTCAGATATAATCTGGATCATGAAGATTTCAGTTCATTCGAAATGACAATACCTCTCATTTTATAGTCAAATTTTTAGTATGCTAATCAACCAACCAAATTATCTTTTTGGAAAGCAAAGGAGCATTTCTTCATAAATAAGTCAGATCTGTTGTGTTTGTGGAATTTCCAGATAGTTAATAATGCCTAGATTTAGCTATGGCCTTTTAAATATTGTTTGCACAATAACATGAAATTAGCAGAAAGCAGCTAAACCAGCCAGTCAATTAACTCCACCCAGATGCTGCACTTTTGCAGTGGAAATCACTTTAAAGAAAACTAGGAGAGAAATATTAAACCAAGGAATAATATTTTATGGAAGATTATATATGAAATAAAATCCATGTTGGATTGCTTAAACCCAAACCATTGGTATTAGTACAATACTTATAGTAGTACAATATTCAATCAGACAAAAGATTGTTTTGTCTAAGCTATCTGTTGTTTACACAGAAGTGTGGCCATATCTAAAATCATTATTTGAGTTTCCAGGACATTTTTATTTCTCTTTGTTCTATCATGTGTCCATGCTTGAAACTTCTTACCTTCCAATGTGATCATTATCATTCCATCATACAAAACTATGCCTTACCTCTCATTTGAAGTACATTTGATAAAATGTACTTTTATGATTCAATCTTCATATTATTTCATATTAATAAAACACACAAATATTGAAATGATCTTTTCAAATGACCTACAGTCAAGAAAACACTGGAAAGTATAAATACAGAGACTGCACCCAATTTCCAGAACCTTTCGGCCTTGCCAAAACCTATACTCATGTCTTTCTTCATAGCTTATGACAGTATGAGTGAAAAATGTATGGTTCTCTGAAAAATGAAGAGCACTAGCTCTCTGAGAACAAATATGATTAAACAATTATTGAGGAAAGTAGAAGAAAAATGAAGGAAATAGGTTATGCAGAAGGCAGGAATAGATATTCAGCTATGAAATAATCAAGAATAAAGGATTACAACATATTAGAGTGACAGTCAAATACTGATCAGCTAATTAGTCTGAAAGGCAAGTTGTTGGTAACAAGCTAACATTCAATGTTTTACTCCTTTCATGATTGCACATCATCTATGTCATGGATTTGGTATATCTCTTTCTTGGAACTATCAATATTAATGTAACTTATCAACCTAATAAAATTTTAGAATGGTGTATTCTTAAATAGAGTTAGATAAAATAGAGAAGATTGATGATAAGGGCACATTTTCTTAAGAAGCTGCAAACCGGACAGTATTTCCCCATTACTTTGAGGATAAAGATTATGCTGTGAAAATTATGTATCCAAAATTTCAGCCTTTAAGATCAATGTCATTTCGAATGGTTGGATGGGATTTTTTTAATGCTACACTTTGCAAGAAGAAAGGAAAGAGGGAAGGAGGGAGAATGGACTAGGCAAGGATAGTAACGCAGGCATTTCTTGTTTTCTGAACAAAGTTTTCAGACTACTCTCAGCTCTTCACGTCTATTTGTACCTACTCATTATCAATTTATTTTATTTTAGCAATCAATACATTTATGTTTAAACTAATACACTTTCTTTTCATTGGATACTTTTGATGAGTTATTTAACCACATTTCTTTAAATTTAAGTTTTGTAATGTATATTGTTTCTTCTTTCTAATCAAAGAAACACAGACATTATTGAGATTTTGCAAAAAGTATATGAAGAGAAGAAAATAAAAATCACTTAAATCCTATCCCCACACAAAGTAATTTTAAAAGCTGTGATATTAATTCTTCTTAATTGATCTTAAGTGTGCATGCATACATGCATATTTGTAAGAGGAACAGAGCCAGAGAGTAATTGTCTGGTTAAATTCGTTTTGTACTTCTGTCCCAACTTGAGGTTATAGAGTCCCCAGAGAGATCTATCTTGCTTTTCTTAGTTAATACTTAATCATGAATATTTTCTTATTTAATGAATTATGATTTAAAACAATTGTTAATAAATATATGTTATAGGTGTAATATTTATTAATAACTTTCTCCTTTATTCTTTCTCTCATTCAAAAACTAAGTAGTGACTACTCATCATTTTTTTAAACTAAATTTATTGGGGTGACAATGGTTAGTAAAATCACATAGGTTTCAAGTGTACAATTCTATAGTACACCATCTATTGGGTCGTTGGAAAAGTCATGACACATTTTTGCATAGAAAATATAGAAAAAAATACGTCATGACTTTTCCGATGACCTGATATATATCACATTGTGTGCTCACCACCAAGAGTCAGTTCTCCTTCCATCACCATATATTCTACCTCCTTTACCCTCTTCTACCATCCCTCACCCCCATTACCCTCTGGTAATCATTAAACTGTTGTCTATGAGTTTTTTGTTTCTTTATTTGTTTGTCTTGTTTCTTTGTTGCTTTCAGTTTTATATCCCACATAACAGTGAAGTCATATGGTTCCCGACTTTTTCTGTCTGACTTATTTCTCTTAGCATTATAATCTCAAGATCCATTCATGTTGTTACAAATGGCAATATTTCATCTTTTCTTATGGCAGAGTACTATTCCATTGTGTATATGTACCACATCTTCTTTATCCAATTACCTATTGAAGGACACTTTGGTTGTTTCCATGTCTTGACCACTGTAAATAATGCTGCAATGAACATCGGAGTACATACATCTTTACAGATAAATGTTTTCAGATTTTTGGGGTAGATACCCAAAGGAGGGAATGCTGGGTCATATGGTAATTCTATTCTTAAGTTTTTGAGGAATCTCCACATTGCCTTCCATAGTGGCTGCACCAATCTATTACATTCCCACCAACAGTGTATGAGGGTTCCTTTTTCTCCACAGCCTCTCCAACACTTGTTATTGTCTTATTGATGATAGCCATTCTAACAGGTGTGAGGTGATATCTATCTCATTGTGGTTTTGATTTGTATTTCCCTAATAGCTAGTGAAGTTGAACATTTTTTCATATGTCTGTTGGCCAATTGTATGTCTTCTTGGGAGAAGTTTCTGTTCATGTCCTCTGCCCATTTTTTAATTGGATTGTTTGTTTTTTTGTTGTTCAGTTGTGTGAGTTCCTCATGTATTTTGGATATTGGCCCCTTACCAGGGGCATTGTTTGCAAATATCTTCTCCCATTTTTATGCATTTGACCTCAAAAGCAAGAGAAGTAAAAGCTGAAATAAATGAATAGAACTACATTAAACTAAAAAGCTTCTGCACAGCAAAAGAATCCATCAACAAAACAAAGATACTACTCATCATTGAATTGCTAGATGTAGTGGAGATAATCCTTGCCTTCAAGGAGTTTATAATTCAACTTTGGATAGTGTGTGTGTGTGTATGTGTGTGTTTGTGTGTGTGTGTGATATTTTTTTAATGCACAGTTTGAGGCTATTATAAATTACCTTGTAAATTTCTGAAATTCTGAATATTTCCTTACAACAAACTCCAAGACATAGAATTACTAGGTCAAAATTTATGAAGGTTCTTGGGCCGGCCAAGTGGCACGATGGTTAAGAACTGGCTTGGGACACCAGAGGGACCCGGTTCGGATCCCACATATGAGGGCCAGTGACACTGCCCTCCACAGCTAAGATGCTGAACAACAGCTCGACCTGGAGCTGGGCAGCCGTGAGTTGCCAAGGATGGCGTAGGCTGCAGCCCCTGTGGCAGTGGGTTGCCATGGGCTACCGTGTGTAGCCAGCAGCCAGCTTGAGTGGCCAGCAGCCAGCATGAGCGGCCGTCCAGAAGCCAGCAACTGATCTGCCTCACCCAGGAAGAGCGCAATGATGGTGCCAACTTGGGTCAGTGAAGCAACGTCCTCCACAACTAGACTGAAGAACAAAACGACAGCAACTTGTCTGTTCCCCTTCCCCCAATTCCCCAGCACTGTTCNGAAGTGGTCTCCCTAACAAGACATGAGTCCATCTGGCCCCCTAAAAAATATTTACAACATTATTGATTATATTCCCCAGACTGTCTTTTCTATCCTTAGGCCATATTGTAGTTACCAATTTGTATTGTCTCATCCCTTCCCCTTCTCCTTCATCCCCACCCCCTCCCAACTAGCAACCCTCTAGAATAATTTTTAAATTGTTATGAGGGACAGGATTGGCTCTTCCATCTCAAAAGTTTGCTGACCCCTGGTTTCAAGCTGATTAACTGACCAATTTGGGCAAACTTCCAAGTTACTAATTGTCTTAGTCAGTGCAGACTGCCATAACAAACTACCACAGACCATGTGACTTAAACAAAATTTATTTTCTCATAGTCCTGGAGGGTGAAAAGTCCAACATCAACTGTAGGTTGATTCATTTTCTAACAAGGGGTATCTTCCTGGCTTATAGACAGCCATTTTCTTTTGGTGTCTTCTGCCAATAAAGCCACCAATCCTAATGCATTAGGGCCTCACTCCTATGACCGCATATAACTTTACCTCCTAAAGCTCCTATCTCCAAATACAATCACACTGAAGTTTAGGGTTTCAACATATGAATGGGGTGGGGGTGGGGGGAGAAGAACAACACAATTCAATCCATAGCACTAGTTAATTTTTTTCAGTTAGAATACATTGATTCAATTCAATCAAAATCAATTGATTCAAACAGAATCAATCATTATGACCTACGATCTTTGGAATCCAGTGTGATAAAAGTGGAGGGGCTCATCACTTTATAATCCAAACAGCCTATAGTGAATTACCCTTTCATTCATTTTCTTTCCAGGCTTGAATCCAATATCAACAGAAATGTACAAGAGCTGCTATAAAATTGGTACCTGCAGACTTGAGTGCCATGCAAGTGAAAAGTTAGTGGACTACTGTATGTTTCACCTGGAGTGCTGTGTCAAAGGAAACCCTGCATGAGAAAGCCCAGACATGAGAAACCAGTGCATGCCAATTAACTTGAAAGTCCTTGACCACCCCCCATCTTTCACACAGCCAAATAATTTAGATTAAACTGTAATGTGCCCACAACTGTTGACTTTCAGCATTTTTTATAAACCTGCAGAGTCATGATTTGGAATTTTAAAAGCTGAGCTGCGGCCTTCCTAAAAGCAGCTCTGCTTCTCATGAAAACCACTTAGAATACATTTCTCACTTCAAAGTGATATCCATGCTCTCCTCAATGCCTATTTCTCTCTTTATTCATAGAAAGGATGTCCTATTTATTTATAGAGGCTTCAAATTACAAATACATCTCTTTATACCTAGGCTTCACCCTGTCATCCCTCAAGCTCCCCTCTTACCTCTTCTTTGCTCCTCTCATCTGTAGAAGAACAGACCTGCCCTAGCCCCCTGGTGACTTTGTATATCTCTCACATTGTCCACAGAGGCACAGCTTAACTGCAGGCTGTCTCAGTTTTCAACTGAGCTTGACCCTACAGTTCTGCCTGAAACACAAGGAGAAAGCCATGTTATGGTGAGCTGCCACAAGGCAGGTTCATCCATCTCCCTGGTTTCAAGAAGTGAAAGCGTGAGACTTTCCACCTCAGCCTAGTTATGGTTCAGCTACAGGCTATGAGACCGCTTGGCTATGGTTTAGAGTTGGCTCCTCGGCAGCAGAGTGGCACCCCCACCCTGACCTCTGCTACCCATTACCTGGCCCTTCTAGTTGGGTGTTGTCCTGTGGAACTAGGAACTAACACCACGCTTTGTTGTGTATGTAAGTAATGAACTGTTGAAATCCATCTAGACTCATTGTTTTGTTTACCAGCCAAATTTATGAAAGTGTGACAGACAAAACTAGCAACTTTGGTTGTGATGCTGGTTGTCCTACTGCCTACTGTGATGCTACTGAATATCCGCCCAACTGTTCAACCCATCAACCCACACACAGATGCAAGGAGTGTGTGAGTTCTGCGTGTGCTGCTCAGGATGAGGGGTGCAGTGGCAGAGTGGAGGAGAGATTCTGGTTGTGGAACCATTTGGAGCTTCAGTGCTGAACACAGCTTGTCCTCTCAAGTGATTCTGAGAGGGTGGGGTTCTAGCTGCAAATAGCCCATTGCTGATCCGGTACAGAGCTGAGGAAACAATGGTTAAGTCCTGGCCTGAAATGACAGTACTGCATTTCCAGCCACTCAATGCAACCGGGAAGATGAAAGGAGAACAGTGGGTAATAAAGAATAAGGGGTTGTCGGGCCGGCCGAGTGGCGCGATGGTTAAGAACTGGCTTGGGACGCCAGAGGGCCCCAGTTCGGATCCCACATATGAGGGCCAGTGACACTGNAGTGAAGCAACGTCCTCCACAACTAGACTGAAGAACAAAACGACAGCAACTTGTCTGTTCCCCTTCCCCCAATTCCCCAGCACTGTTCTCATCCACCCAATTCCCCGGTAAAAAAATCTAAAAAAAAAAAAAAAAGATTTATGAAGGCTCTTAAGCTGTCAATATTGCAAAATTCGTATGCACACATCAACTTGTATCCATATCATGTAAGAGTGAGTACCTGCTTCACTCACCCTGGACAGCCTCTCAGGGCTCTTCAGAAAAATCTAGCAGTACCAGAAGTGATTATGTATTCACCATAATCCTCAGATTATTTTAATTGCATTTTGGAAACCACATCAGACTCTGACTTATCCTTTGACTGTTCTGACCTAATCTGATCTAATCATCCATCCTTTCTACACTGTGAAATCGTTATTCACAATATATGACTTTTTCACCTTTTGTCAGAAATTCCAGCACATAGACTGTTCTTCATCCATTTTTATATAACCCTTTAAGGAAGAACCCAGCTCCTGACCAAAATGTCTATGTGTGGTTTTCAGGCCTGAATGTAGAAAATTCCAAAGGTTTTACCTGTCAGGGTTCATAGCATAAGACTTGGCAGTTAGTTGCACTGCAATGAGCCGTGAATACTTCTTATAACTAAATGTCTAGCAAATATGTATCAGGCACTATTATTATGCAATTGGCTTTTATAGTGATGAGCTAGCAAAAGTCTATTTGAAAAATAGTTTATCTTGCACACATGATCCTTTTTATTATATAAATAATGAAAGCTCATTATACAGTGTGATGGTTAATTTTAAGTGGCAACCTGACTGGGCCATAGGGTGCCAGAGGTATTTGGTCAAACATTATTCTGGCTGTTTCTGTGAAACTGTTTCTGAATGAGGTTAACATTTAAATCAGTAGACTAAGTAAAGCAAATTATCTTTCCCAATGTGGGTGTGCCTCATCCAATCAGTTGAAAGCCTAAATAGAACAAAAAAGATGACTCACTCCCAAGTAAGAGAGATTCTTCCTGTTTGACTGCTTTCAAATTGGGACATCAGCTTTTTTCTTGGCTTCAAACTGAAATTGAAACATCAGCTCTTCCCGGGTCTCAATTCTGCCGGTCTTTGAACAGGAACTACACCATTAGCTTCTGGTTCTCAAGACTTTGGACTTAACTGGAATTACACATCAGCTCTCCTGGGCATTCAGCTTGCCAGCTCCTGTTGTAGCTCTTGGGACTTGCCCTTTTCCATGACTGTATGAGCCAATTCCTTATAATAAATAAAGGATACTTACGCACATCTTATTGGTTCTGGATCTCTGGAGAACCCTAATACATATGGTAGTACAAATTAAATCCTGTTGACTGGATGACAAAGTTATATTCTCATTTTTGTGACGTCCACTTGCACTGAGGTGCCTCTTTTACTCATTATAACTGCTATTTTTCTACTCTTGTTTTCCCGGAAAGCCTGATTTCCCTGTGTTCACATATACTTTGATGATAAGGTTACCCTTATAATCATTCAGGTAACCTTAGTGAGTGTGTTTTTAAAGATAACTGACTTATCCTTAGCTCCTTTTTAATTACATTTCTGTGCCATTATATCCTAAGTAGCATTTGATTCATATATGCGAGCATTATTGGCTTCCATAACTTTTTTTAATTTGGTGGCATATATTTAAATAAAACAGAAGTATTTATAAAGAAAACATGATTATAGTCTTAAAGGTAGATATGAAATGAGACTCACATTTAGGTCATTCTCACTTGTATAGAACAAAAGAAGAAAAAAACATATGGTAAAATAGTGCCTACTGTGATTCCAAGAATTTCTGAAACACAATACTGGTATAAACAATTAGCAACGCCATCTATACCACCTGTCCCTCAAAAAAACCTATCATCTTATAATCTTGAATCAAGAACTTCAAGCCCAACAGTCAGCATTTTCTTCAAGTATGATAAACTAGGACTTCTCGCATCATTAAATGACGCTTTACCTTTCATAAATTGAGTTTGATTTTTTAAATAAATATATTTAGAATTATTTTATTTTTAAAAGTTATAAAATCACACAAGTGGCTTATCATATAAGACTTTTATGGCTATCAGGGGAGTAAAGGCCATCTTTTACACAAGCATAAGTCAATGAGGCCAACCAATTTTACACGTAGATGCAGAAAAAGCAAATTTTGCCTCGGATAGGTTTAGTTAACATCATCAATACATGAATTTTTTTTCAGATAATAATACATCAATATATTTAGAAAATATAAAGCTTATTTTAAAATTCATTTTCTTTGCCACATTTTTACAATTCAAAGTTTTGGAGATATTCCTGACTTCTTATTCCCACATCTCTTTTCACTCCTAGACATGCAAGTTATCATAGTGAAATTTCCTCTGACAGCTAAAACTCTAGCTCAGTAGTCTACTTCCTGTGTAAAAGGATTAGATGATATAAAGGTGACATGTGTCAAATGGCAATTTCAAACATTCAAAGTATCATCTTAGCTGAAGATGGAGTTAAGCTCCATCTTCTTTAAACTCCACCACCTGGAATTTAAAGAAGACATTTTTAATCATTTAATAATATTAAACATATTTTCAACTTCAATCATTTAAAATTTTAAATCAAAGTCCATCTTTTCAGTGTTTGACGTCAGATGTAAATATGTGAATGCTGTGGTTTCAGCAGGTTGTCAGACTCCAAATCACATTTTGTCTTTTTTGGGTTTGAAGATTCACAGCACGTTGTTTTTTTAACAGAATTAGAACTGCAAGTCTGTGTTCCACATACTACCACATCTTCAAAACAAACCATTTCGATGCATAAAATGCTGTGGTGACCTGTCTAATCCTGACAGCAATGATTTTGACATAGCAGAAGTAAAGCGAGCTAGAGCTGTATGCCCTTTAAAAGCAGTCAAAATTGCTCAACATCAAGAGAAAAAAAACAACAACAAAACAGAAATTGTCACAATGCAGATGTTTATTCCAACTTAAATATACTCTGCTATAACCAAATATACACAAATCACTGATCTGGTTTGACTAACGTTTTGTGTATATATAATAGAAGGTTAGGCAGTCTTCAAAAAAACACAAAGGATTGACAGTGATAACTTACTACAGCACATCGAACTCAGCGAGATAAAGGGAAAAAAATAAATAAATAATGTTAAACCCGTTTCCTTAGCAACTAACCAATTGACATAAAAAGAATTTTTCTGTCTGCTCTGAACTATAGGTTGTTAAATAATTTGCTTATTATAGACTCCATATAGAGGAGTATCTGATGGAGGGTTTGTTTGTTGTTTTTTTTAATTACCTCTATGTCCCAAAGTCATGTGTTTTTATCAACATGTGAAGGTCATTTAAATCCAAATCTTTTTGCATCCATTATTTAGAACAGGGCACTAAGAAACAAACAAAACCAGAGAGTTTCACTGGATTTTTAATATTATACTGAAATAACTGATTTATCTTTGTAGTCTTTATTATGTGGAATTGCATGACTTTGAGAAAGGTCATGATGAGAATACCTGTAATATTTATATGAGAAATGTGATGGAGAGCTAATTTTTGCAAAAATGATAAAAAACAAAATATCTTGGTGACGTAGTGATATGCCAG